GTGTGTGTGTGTGTGTGTGTGTACCGACCTAAGAGCAGGGGCGAGAGAGAGAAGGACAGAAAAGGAGAAAGAGATAAGGAGGAAGAGAAAGAGAGAAAGAAGATGGTGACAAAGAGAGAGGAGTGAATGGCTGGACAGACAGATGAACAGATAGAAAGAGAGAGAGGGGGGAGAGAGAGAGAGAGAGAGAGAGAGAGAGAGAAGGGGGTTTTTTGTTTGTTTTTATTTTTTTGTTTTTTTGGGGGGTAGAGGACGAACGGACGTACGGACGGATAGACAGACGGGCGGATGGATGAATAATATTCGTTCGTGCTCCAATGATGCCTTTGCCCAGAGGCTGCAGCATGTGTTTGTGATAAGCGCTCACCGAGAAGGCATGTACAGCCTGCCTGGCGCTTGGTCGGCTCGTCCTGGAGGGAGGGAGGAGGGAGGGGATGTCCACTCTCGTTTGCTTGATCACCTCGTAGGTTGGAGAGAGTGTGGGGGGGGGAGGAGAGAGGGGAGAGAGAGAGAAAGAGAGAGAGAGAGAGAGAGAGAGAGCGAGAGAGAGAGAGAGAGAGAGAGAGAGAGAGAGAGAGAGAGAGAGTATATTCATTATTACTTTGTAAGGCCAAATAGGGACAATGTTAGCAATGATAAAGTATTCTAGCTTGCTGTTCAGATCTAACTAGCTAGAAACTCACCAGTAAACCCTAACCCACCAAAATGTATTTGTGTCGAGTGCAATTTAACAGAAAAGATGATGGTATTTACTGTTTCGCGAGCAAACACACCAGGGCAGACGGGCTGATGTAAGACTTTTGTTTCTATTTTTCAAAATTTCATTTGAAGTCTTGCGAAGCTATTTCAAAGATGTTACTCTAGGTCACCTTCCTGGAGTCTAGCAAGAAGATTCAAAATCCATAAAAAGACAATACATATTCGTAACTTTATTGGATTCACAAAATGATGTGTATTTTTCATGCAGGATCTATTAATGTTAGTGAGATCACAAGAACAAGTGAACACTCTGGCTTTAATTGGGGGTGCATTTCTTACGTGGAAGTAGCTAATTGTGAGAATACACGAAACGAGTAAGTTTCATTTACATTTTGTGTGTATTAGTGAGTTTAAAAAAAGCCCATCATGCTCTGGATTCGGGTTTCCACAGCAAAAACAAAACAAACAAAAAATGAAAAAGTTGTTTTCGTCCTCATTGACACAATTATTTAAAATCATTTAGGAGGCAAGCTTCGTCTCTGACTGTCAGGGTCTGTCTTGGAGGAGAGGGAGACAACGTCCCAGTAGAAAACTCGAAATACTTGATAAATCAACGTCTCCAAACACGAGAATCGACATTGGGTCTTCTGCGTGCGAGGTCGAAGCTCAATCGCTACATTACAGACACCTGTCGTGTTTCTCCGTTTAGCACGTTTGTTCAGAATTAGTGACAAAGTGAGATCAAATAAAAGGACGTGATTTTAGGTTTTGGACCTTCTAGTAAAAACGAATGAACTTTTTTAAAAAAGCATTCATATCGCCCACGTTCGTAGGAAGTGAAGTAATGGTATGATAAAGAAACAACAAGAATTTTTTCTTATGGATGATTATTGTCTCAGAAAGGGAGGGAGGGGGGAGGGTCTAACTACAACACAACATGCAAGGTTCTAGGAACATGCCCAAACATGGAACATAAGACAGGCGTCAATGAAATGTGTTGGGAGGGAATTTCTTTTCCACATAGACTTCACAAGTAAAAGGACGATACAGACGTATTTTAACACACTGGTATCAATTTCAAGAAAGAGCTGCCTTAACCTCAATAAAGCTAGAAAGCACCACACAACATTCCTTTAGCTATTCTGACTGTTCCATTCATACCTTGTTCCCATCCCCTGTAAATTTTGTACATGGCACAGGCAATGAACAAATACATTATAGTAAAACATGAATTACTACCATATTACCTATACTGGTATACCGCTATAACTATAACTAACAGAACAACCTAACTGCAGTACATTGAAAAAGAGAAAAACATTTAAAACAAAACAACCCTCCTCATTACAACAGTGACAAATAACAAACAAGAACGAGAAGTGAAAAGAGAAAATGGTTTAGCAGACGACTTTGTTCTATTCTAGTCAGGTCTAGTAGAAGCGATCACCATATTTCGTATTGTGGTATTGGGCCCTACCCCTATCTATTCTTTCTTTCTAACCCTTTCTTCAGCCGGCTGCTCCTTTTGAGAAAATGCAAATCAAGAAAAGTCATCGCTTTGCTGCAAGCCAAATTTGAATAATTATGTAGCGGCTTTTTCGGATAGGTGTTTTTCGTTGATAAAGTTCTGGACTAACGGCCCTGTTTTTGAGCAAGTCAGTAGATCGAAAATTTGGGGATCATTTATATCCCCCCCCCCCCCCCCCGGCTTTTGACTACGTTGATTGTGAATGATAAGATGTCTTTCTCCTCTACAATATAGATCCTTTAAGAGGATGACTCTCTTTCCTTTGAACGCGTCAGTCATGGTTAGCCTAAGCTGAGAGGGATACATTATCCCGAACGTCAGAACGACGGAGTAAAATATTCGATGAAACAGACTTCTCTTCACTGGAACCGAATCTCTCACCTGTATGAAAAGCCTAGCCATTACACCACAGACACTGGTCTGTACTTCTTTCAAGGTACCTGAGCCCTTGAAGGTCGTTAGATGTGCAGTACTGACAATGCATTCACTGTGTCTGTGGCCATACATGCTGAACATAATACTTTAGCACTTTATGAAAGTTATGGTGTACTCTATAAGCCGCCATGTCAAAAGGAAGAGCACCGTAAAAAAACAAACAGACAAACAACAACAAATAAAAAAACCCTCAACCAAACAAAAATAACAGAATAACCCGATAGGTTACCTGTAACCGCCACACACACACACACACACACACACACACACACACACACACACACACACACACACACACACACACACCCACCCACCCACACACACACACACACACACACACACACACACACACACACACACACACACACACACACACACACGTTTGCACGCATCCCCACCTAAACAGACTGATCCTCACACACAATTGCACTCGCAAACACACTTTTCTCACCCTTTCCCTCCTTTCCACCCGCACTCATCTCCCAGGATCTACCAGCCTGACGTAACCGTAGACAAACAACTATTACTTCTATCTTTGTTGGGCTTCACGGGTCGGTTCATGCAGCCTGCTATCATTAATCTTGTTTGGGGAGCTAGATCTGGAAGTGTCACTGACAACGCAACAAGCTAAGGTGGATCTTCGGGGATCGAGATCCCACCATTTTCTGCTCCTTTTAGACTTTTCCACCTGAATCCCGCACTATCTCCCTCCTCAAAAGCAAGCTGGGAAATGAGATCACAAGGGGTAAAAATGCTAGAAATTAGCTCTTGAAGAGGTTAAAAGTGAACCTGAGAAAAATAGGTACCGAGGAAATGAAAGCGTAAATGGAGTTTACATCAACATTGACAGGATAACTAATAGGAATTTAAACCAATTATCAGGTTTCAAAGTAGGAATATACGTTAACACAATTGAAACGTTGACTATAACTAAATTGCTCTGCTAATCATTAAAGTGAGAACCAACACCGAAACAAAAATGCAATCCAAGATGACGCACACGTTTAGGAATACAAAATATGCAAACGTTTGTGCCTTTCTTGAGGTAAATACGCACAGAAAGTAGCAGATGCTCATAACTGTGAGCGAAAAAGAACGATTAGTACTTTAATTCTAGCAACACATGTTGCAGGTGTATTTATTTAGGTGGGGTTCTAGACTGTTTGGGACACTAGATCTACAAAATGAAGGCAAAGTATCAGGGTGAGTAAGAATTTATTTGCGTTTGACTTTGCGTGAAATGAGGACTGTTTTTAGTTTTGAAGACTGAATATATTATTCATTTGTGTTAGTACACTCAGATGAGCATATCTTGTTGATGATACCGCATGCTTCTATCTATCTATCTATCTATCTATCTATCTATCTATCTATCTATCTATCTATCTATCTATCTATCTATCTATCTATCTATCTATCTATCTATCTATCTATCTATCTATCTATCTATCTATCTATCTATCTATCTATCTATCTATCTATCTATCGATCTATCTATCTATCTATCTATCTAACATATATATATATATATATATATATATATATATATATATATATATATATACATATATATATATATAATGAACAGTGAGCTTAAGTCTGTCAAAGTGGGCGTGTCGTACTTACGAGGATCTAGTAATAATGAAGTATGTAAAGCGCACCAAGAGCTTCTATTTCCTTGTGTTTCTCTCAGCACTATGTTAAGCATTAACTCCCATGATGCAGTTTTACTTTCATAAAAAAGAGGGGTTAATATTGCGATACAAAGGGAGGCGGTTATTGTTTTCGTGCACGTTCACAAAGCAATACGTTTTTTGCACTAACCATTGTAGTGTAGTTTTTCAGTGACTAAAGGAGAGTACGTGACTTGCTTGTGAACTCTGGGTTTTGGTTTCGACGTAACCACTGGTTCTGAAAGAAATCCAAACAAAACAAAAAAACATACCAAGTATTCTAATGGGATGGGGCAACGATAGGAAACGAGGAAGGATAACATAAATAAGTTATAATCAATGAAAACACAAAGGTTAGAACTGGAAGTTCCTTTAAACAAGAGGGAAGGCAATATAGTGTATAGCTGCATCAACACGAACGCCTTCTTTAGCAATACTAAACCAGTGGGTTATAACATGTGCACTTCAGTTTGAGTTAAATTCAGCAAATAAAAGTAAATTATTGCATACTGACACCTCATTTTGACATTTTTACTTGCTATTTTAGTATCTCTGTTCAGGTTAATGGAAACAGTTTACTCCAGATAGTTCCTTGCTTTTTTATTGATATAACAATTAATTTAAAATCAAACAAACAAAACAAACAAACAAACCAAAAAACAAAACAAACAACAACAACCGAACTCAACCCAAAGAAATCCAACCCCCCCTCCCCCTGATATCAAAACATTAAAATGTTTTGATCTCTGCTGTTTGTTCTTTCTTTTCAGATTCTTCGATCATCATTATAATAAGGTTACCATGAAAACACTAATCATTAAATTCATATTCACACACTTAATGAGGAACGTCAAACAAATTGCAGGAAATAAAACAAAATATAAAATACATCTCGATTCATGGCAGTCACAGGTATCTAAGGTTGGGGAACCTAAAAAATCCCAGCTTACAGCTTCAAAGAAAATTGCATCTCGTGAGTTAATGTACATCATCTGTGAAAGGTACAAATGAGTGATATCAGATGTTCTTTACAGCGCTTCTTGGAACATCCTACATTTCTCATCAAACGTAAAAAAGAGACGAGCTTCCTCATCATAATTCTTTGTTGAAGGCAGGTAAAGCCTTTGCACACATCATCACCGAGACTCAAAGGAAGAGAAAGAGGATACGATAGCACCTGCTTGCTATTTTCAGCATAAATCCCGAATTACATAACTCAAAGCAACTATTTTCTTTACAACAAAAAGCTAAAAGGTTTTAAAAAAAAATAAAAAAAATAAAATTGCGATATGAGAGGCATTGGAAAGAAGTCAGAATTTATGAGATTTGATAAGACATCTACTTTATTCCTTCACTGTTTGGTGCTCTGCGAGGGATAAACTTATTGTGGGACGGCTGATCTTTGGGCCAAATTTGTCCACATTACAAGAACTTCATTGCGCAGTGGTTGCTCTTCAAATGCAAGAACGTGCCTTATCCTCTTCGAAAGAAACCCTCCTTTTTTTTTTATTGCATACAGTAGTACAAATTCATTCCCTTCAACATAAGTCTTATAAAGGGAGAGAATCAAAATGGTTGATCACAACTCATAACCTTCTCATTATTAGCTACCCGATCATACATCCTCTGACACTACTACCTCCATACCCTTTTCTACTTTGGTGACGACAAATGAAAGGCGAACCCCGAAAAGCAGGACGTATTATTGCATTCTTTGATCCACCCATCAAGGACCAGAACGTAAAAGTACAGCGTAAACATTTATTTCTTAATCACACCAGCTGTAACTTTCACATTAAACAGATATAACGAGTTACGTTTTAAGCACACACCCAAGCTTCCGTCTCGAAATCTCCAATCTGCCAGAAGACTGAGCACGGGCAATCGGGTAAATATAAAATTGTAGTCAGGAGTTACGAACATACAAATGATGAGTGCGGACGTTCTGACTTTTTAATCTGAAAATTGCTCTTCCGAATCCGCATCTTTTGTGTGAGTTATGATTTTAAACAAATGCACCAGTATTGTGACTACAAGTTGTACCCATACGATAACAAAACAGATTATGAAATAAACTTAAGATCAAGCTTTGAATTAATGAAAGTGTGAAACTGTCACAGGTACAAAACGTTGTCATGAAATCTGGTTCTGTTGTCTCTCACTCACCTAGCACTATCAACTGCAGAGTCCATATCAAATGCTCGGAGGAGGTCACTTGGCACTCGTAGTAGCCAGCGTCCTCGTCCTTAGCGTTCCTGAGCAAGATGTCCCATGAGGTGATGTCTGCCCTGTGTGCTTTATGCTCCAGCACGATCCGCGGATCTTTACTCCACACCATCTTGCCGATGGTCAGAAACTCGTCTGTTTCTAAACGCCTCCATGCCACCTGGGGGAAAATAAGAGAAACAATAAAACATAACGTTCAGTTTACTATTTTCTTTGTTGCGTTTTACAATTTAAAATTGATATATAATGGTAAGCATACTGTCAGTTCCTGTATTAATATAAAAATCAGCTAACTGCACACAGATATGACAAGAACAAATCATTGGAGAACGAGAAGAGAGGCGAGCTTACATACTATGCACCTATTTACTCGTCAACCTGTACATCCACACATCTACCCGTCCATCCGTGTATAAAGTACCCATCCTCCCGTCTATACATCCGCCTATGTACCTGCTCATCTATACATACGTCCGTCCATCCATTCATCTACCCAGCCATCCTGCCACCCAGCCATCTATCCATTCTTTCATTCATTCTTTCATCCATACATTCACCCATCCACCCGAACTTCCATCTAGTCAAATACATTTGGGAAGATAGTGATATTAAGGACACAGGCGTAACAACACTCACAAATACACACGCACGCTCGCACTTAGACACAAACACACACACACACACACACACACACACACACACACACACACACACACACACGCAATATGCACATTCACACAAAGTCCCATCAGAAAGGAATATCAAAATAGATCTAGTAAGATTCAACACGCACGCAATCACATTTAGACGTACTTACGAACAAGAGTAGTAACACACGGACTCAGTAACACACCGATGCAGCAACCTATAGATCCAGTTTTCCATGGACACAGGTACTCACAAGAAATAAAATTAATGGTCTCCATATTTTGACCTTCCTTTTAATGTCCTAAACTTTAAAATATGGGTAAGGGGGGGGGGGGTGGTTGTGTTATTTTATGTTCACATTATACAAAAATAACAACCTGAACCCCAAAAAGCTAAGCATGGCTCACAAGCATGTAGCCGTCCACCTTTAATGTTTCATGATAGATAACGAGTTATAAAGTCAAGATATCTTTCTGAAGATGCAGATTTAAGTCCTCTTTTTATCTCCTTAATTAACTTGTATCATCGGTTAGTCCCCAGGCGTTCTCTGCGTTCTCACTGCTGCCACGACTTTTCTTGCAAACGTTGAGGTAACATAAGATACAGCTTTGTGGCGTTAGGGATATGTTTTAGAGATTTAAGAGAACATCCACTTTGACTTCTATCCTTGAACTCCATCCAATTTGAATGGCATTTTGACACTGACTGTACAGTCGAGTCATTTTATTGCCTGAATCACACGTGCAAAAGAGGTTGAACGCCCGGTAAACTATTTCAGTAGATTATAGGAGGAAGATTAGGAGCTCGAGGGGTACTGGATTAATGGCAACAGCATTCTTACGGCTCTTCTCTTTGTTTTCTATTGATTTCTTTCGGTGTGTTGTATAAAAGAGATACAACTCGCTGTATGATGATCCCAAAAATTCTTTAATTGATGATCAGATATGCTTGTCGACGATAGACCAAGGCTTGCATGGATGGTGTGTCTCAGCAGACAGTCAAAACTAGAGAGAGAGAGAGAGAGAGAGAGAGAGAGAGAGAGAGAGAGAGAGAGAGAGAGAGAGAGAGGGAGAGAGAGGGAGAGAAAGGACAAAGAAAAGAATATGTTTTAGTTTTAGTAAGGTTTTACAGTGCTCTTAACTGCATAAGGTCATTTGAACTCCAAGGGATGGCTGTCAAAAGAGAAGTCCAAACGGGGTATCATGCTTCCTCTGCTCACCTTTCTAACCCCAACAGCACAAAGTATGCATCAACTTTCAAGGCACGCCGGAAATAGCAGTTCACAAGAGAGTGACAAACATACCCAAAAAAAAATGATTTAAAAATGGCAATAGTAAGAAAGGTTAGAAAAAGCAGCAGTTCCCCCTATGTTGTTCAGCACAGTAAGAGCATGACATATTAATCAGCTCATTTACAATTTCTACTGTGCATAAGAACACTTTAATATCCCCCCTTTGGGAATGGCCTAAAGACAACTTCAATCAGTAGCACTGCCCTCATGAGGGGTGATAACACTCCGAGACGCAGTAAAACCAATTTGTAATTCTCCTAAACAGTTGCACATAATAATAATGTTAAATTATTTAAAGATACGACAGTTTGGTCACTTCCCCTTGCCAGCGCTTGTTCAGAACGGAACAGAGCGCTGAATAGATGCTATCTATCTATCTATCTATCTATCTATCTATCTATCTATCTATCTATCTATCTATCTATCTATCTATCTATCTATCT